ACGAATTATTAACGAAAAACACTGACCAATGAGAGGCGAGCTCGCCTAGCGCTAGGTGGCCGAACTAATCGGCGGAACTGGGATTCGACCGCTCGACCGCTGGCGCCGTTGGCTCGGCCGCCTCGCGCCAGCTGTGCTGGGATTCGACCGCTGGCGCCGTTGGCTCACGCGAGCTTAGCTGGCGCGAGGCGACCGAGCCAACGAGCTGTCGAAACCCAGTTTCGCTCATTGGCTCGGCCGCCTCGCGCCAGCATATCTCACCTCTCATTGGTCACTGTTTTTCGTTAATAACTCGTTAACGGTGCCTCGGAGAAAATTTTTCTAAAGGAAAAAGTTGCGTCAAATGGCCTGAGGAACCCGCCACTTTCGGATTGCGAGACATTTTTGGGACACCCTGTATATACAGTATCAGACTCTGTACAGTACACATCAGACTCTGCCGTCCAGAGAAATTGGCTCGCGCAGAATTCAGCCGTACCTAAAAGGTTAAAGATAAACGTTGCGCAGGTATTAGCGGCGAAGCAGAGCTGAATACTTTGTTCGCGGTTGTGTGTCTTTCCAGTTTTGCAGGTGTCGTCTCTAAGAAGGATCCGGGACTCGGTCGAGACATCGATTTAACTTTGGTACCGTGGGCGAAATTGAAAGGTTACTCGGATCGAAAAATATGCTCGTCAGGTTGCTTGGCTGGTTCGAAGTTCGCGCGCTGCGGAAATACACAGAACGTTCATTACCCCGGTATTTGTCTTTAAAGTTACCGGGAGCAGGGGGGCAGGGGGCGCGGACATAAGGGAGCATTTTCAACTTTAACACGGTAATTTCGCGCATCAGCGACGTTCCCGCCGCGCGTCACCGTGCAGAGTGTGGCATCGGTTTAATTTCCAATGCCACCGCAAACGACAAAGTCGGCGAACTTCCATTGCCGTTTCCCCTCGCTCGTTCCCGACGACCCTGTCCCGCTGTGTTCGCCGATGCCAATTGCTGCACCGCGATCGGCCATCCGAACTTCTTCGTGCCTAATTGTTGTGGACCGTTTCGCGCCAGTTGGGCCTCCGCGGCTGTCTTCGAAAACTGGGTCACCTTTCGGAATTTATTGCCGCAGAACTACTAAACGACGCAGAGCCAAACAAATTTTCGCAATGTATTCGGACGTGATTCGATATAATCGATGAATTTTTGCCGAGTGCTTTTAGCGGCGCTTATTGCGCATTGGCAAGCGAGATTGGCAAGGATCGCTGGATTTATGATGAAATGTTATCGATATTCGAACTAGCATAAATTCGCGAACAAAAAATCGTGTAGGTATCTGCGTCGGTTCGTTTTAAAGCGCGAAGCCTTGGCTGTCATTGAACTGAATTTATTTTTTAAATTGTTTATTTGATAGCGATCAGCGAATAGAAGAATAACCGATAGTATTACATAACACTAAAATACATTTTTTATCGTTTGATCTTTTTACTCACGAGTCGTTCTAGTTTTAAAATGATTAAATAATTTTCCAGCTGATGATAAATAGTTTATGATTAAATTGGAAATTTTCTGTGTTCGTATCAAAATCGAGTAGCAAGAATACAGGAAATTAAGAACACATTAATTTAGAAATATGGCGAAGCTTATTCTCGATCGAATAAATAACGAAACAATTTTCTATTTTGCTCCAATTTGTTGGGCGACGGATAGACTATTTTTATTCTGCATACTGCACGCTTGCAGACTTCAGGAATTTTTGATACTTCGGCTCGCTGCGAGGGTTCGACACGTCGCGTCGGTGGAAGTAACATATTCGCACGAGAATTAGATTCGGAGCGCCACCGCGTCACCGGCGCGGAAAGAAAAAGGGGATGGTGGGGCATAGGGTGAGTGTAGGGTGCGTGCACGGGGGAAAGAAAGATGTGTGCAACGTGCGATGCGCGCCGAGAGATATGTGAGCCGAGTCGCTCGCCAAGACAAACGTTTTTATTACGAAAAATCAGGAGGCGAGACGAAATCTAGGACCGTGCGCAGTCGTGGCTTAGCTCTGCGAAGATGCTGGCCACCGTGCGTGGAATTTAACGTGGCCCGGACGAGACTTTTGGCGGAGAACGCATTTAACACGATCCTAAAAACGAAATTCAACTTCGAAACGTTTTGTAGTCGTACAATTCTCTGAATTGTTCAAAAGCAGATACATGCAGGAATCGATCAGTAAATTTTCAATTACGTCTGTATTTATTGCTATTTTTTATGGAACGAACGCAAATTGAAAAAATCGTGGCCCTATACTTTTGCTTATGTTTCTATCGCGAGTGTCACTTTTGGAAATTCTTGCACGACGATACCAGCTTGTTCGCGTGCTCCGCGGGATATTTTAATTAATTCGAATGTAAACTTCGAAATTTGATGCTCAAATATTTGTTATGGTTTCGTTTTATTACGCACGCGGTACGCGGGTATGAAATATATATCCAGGGGTGGAATGGTAGACGGGCTTATGGTAGCGAAAGGATTAACTTGACACAATTGGTGCGGTGGCTCGTTACTTTTTAACATCGGCCGCAAGATATTACCCCTTTGAAAAGCTTCATTCCCCTACCGTTCTCTTCTTTTTTTCTTTTGTTACAAATAGCGTAGATGTGGCATAACGTGAATAGTAAAAAAATGCTATTTTACTGCATCGTAACCGTGCGGTACGTTTTGACCCTCGGCTGGCGAAGATAAAGAGCGAAAAGGGGCAAACACGACGCAGCGTAAAATTTTTCTCGTGTACGTTCCTTTGGTTTCCATATGATATAGTGCACCTTTTTGTGCCGCAATTACTCTTCGCAATGAGATCAATGCGACCGCAGAAAATACCATGGCATAGTTTGTCTTGATCATGCCGCTCCGAACAATCTTTTTCTCAATCCTCTACAAACTACATATCTTTATTTTCGATAATTCGATGCTTTTCGAACGCTTTCCGCGCGGACAGCTTTACCGAGCATAAATATTTCTTTCAATCTCAAACAACTTTGTTCACGATACTCTAAAAATGACACACGCGCCAGCCATAAATATTATTCTATTCGAATATATTTCATTTTCAATTTGTATTACCGTGTGCATAAATATCGCTGTATCCTATATCGTTTATCCATATTTTTCACTGTTTGACATCTTTCAGACGTCACATGTATTTACATGTGATTTTCTGAGTATTTACTCATAATCAAGAACGCATAAATTTAAATTCCATTGTCAACTTCAATTGTTATCAGTCTACCATTTATTGACTGCTGAAGACTAGAAAATTACAGGCTTTCCACTTTACGGTTTGAAATGATACCTGGACTATTTTACTAGAATATTCATAATATTTACCACACTGTGAACATTCTCTAACTATCAGACTTCACTAACCACACTCATTTCAACGTTTATCCGAGTTGAAAGTCCTTGGCTTCGAGGCAAATCAAAAATCGTTGAAACTCTAGGAAACAAGTGGTGCTTGCCGGGGGTTCATTTTGTTTATATACCCTCTAATCACCCACGTCATTCTCACACCCAATAGTAATCATATTAATACTAATCTATATAGTACTATAATGCTATATTATATACTATACTATATATATTATACTGTATATTATACTATATACTATATTATACATATATATTATACTATATACTATACTATGCATATATATTTTATTATATACTGTACTATACACTGTACATATATATTATACTATATATTATATTATATACACTCTACTATAATACCATATTTATATAGATACTAATCATACATAATACTAACCACTAGACTGGATTTATTAAGATTCAGATTAAGACGACTACAAGAAGACAGTCATTTTTACATACTAGCGTTTCTTACGATTAACTTAGACAATTTTCATTTCGCACAAAGATCCGCAATATACTCGTCAGAGTTCAATCTCTTTGCATCTGGGGCCAAACAAAATGTTCCAGGAGACAAATAGTGACTAACGGGTGTTAATTTCGTTTACTACCCTCTATATTCCCACTTCCTCTAATGCTCGTCGCGGTTCGAACTTCTTATATACAGAACCGAAGAAAAATTGTCGAAACTCGAAGAAACAAACAGTGACTCGTGGGGGTTGTTACCGTGGAGAGGGTTAAGTCTGGCTGTTGCCCTACGCCCCGCCGCCCCAACGGCCTAGGGATCCGTAGGGTGGCTCTCTCCTGCCAACCAGCCAGCCAATCCCCACCCTCTCCCTCCCGTCGGTAGCGCCACCGTGTGGCAGCTTTCTCAATCGCTCTGGTGGGGGTGGTCAGTCGGTCTCTGTCTGTCGCGGGCTGGTGGTCGGGGTGTTGTCGGAAGGGTGGAGGTGTCGGGCGCCAGTCGCTACGCGGACGTTGAGCTCGGGATTCCCCGTGTCGTGCCCGCCGAGACATTTTTCCCCGAGTCGATTCCTGATCGGGCGATCGCCTCGCGTTTCGATCAACCTCGATCTACCGTTTCATCGCTATCCCTTTTTTTTTCTTCGAATTATTTCTCGAATCGATATCGGCCGTCCCCCCCGGACGCCTCAGGGGATCGGCAGCCCGATAGATCGGGATCGGCCGCGTGTGCTCGCGATCTAGTGACGTTTTAACAGTGCCGATCTGTGTGGATCGTGACGATCACGATGATGATTTCCCGAGGATATTCGACTACTGTGCACCGCCCCCGAGGACTTTAAAGGATACCGATCGCGTCGAGGACCACGCCGATTCGCGACCCCGTCCCGGGTAAGTGGATCTCGGGATCGATGGATCGCACGAGTAGTTTTATCAAGATCATTGGCCCCTGTGGTTTTCGTGAGTTCGGTGAACCTGCTGGCCGCCCGTTCCGTCTCCCGTGCGTGTTTCTCGTGTTCCCGAGCGATTTCGGTGTGGACGGTGGTGGGGACAGTGAAGTTGATGGGAATACCACTGTAATTAGTGGCGTATTTTAATTGCTGGGTTAAGTGGCCGGAGAGTATCGGGTGTCGAGGAGCTTATCCAGGCGTGCCCGCTCAGATTAGGTCGCCTTAATTAATTTTTCGAATGTTCGAGCGCCGTCGCCCGAAAGGACTTTCCGTCCTACTGAACGGGGGCGTTAAATATTCCGGCAAACGATGCCGCCGTTGGCGACGATGGCAGAGTTCCGCGGTGACGGGAATCGCCTAAGAAGATTGCGAACTTACGCTATAATTGCGGTTTATTGGAGCAATCTGTGTCGATTGGAATTGTGTAGGGGACGTTTTTGGCGGTTGGAGCTGTTTTATGGGGTTCGGGGAGCGATTTGGCACCGTGTCCGTCACTGTGCAGCTATCAGAATTTCGACGGTTCGTTAATTTATTGTTTGCTTTTTGTTCTTTTTTCTTTCTTAGTTTTCATCGTTTGTTTTAATTAGCAGGTGATCGCATTGTCTGAGGTCTTGATTCGCGTGCGAGCTCATTGTACTCTGTTATCAGCTACGCAATCTCAGGGCAGGTTAAACGATCTGCTGCAGTTTATAGTGTAGACACTAAGTACCCTAATCTTGCTTTTGTTACCTGCCGCGCAGCGGAATTACTTTGTGGATCGAGGATTTAGGGCCTGGTGGTGGGCTCCCCGAATTTATTCAGCCGTGTTTAACAGGATCTTGCCCGAGAGATCGTACTAATTTAGTTCTTTTTTGTGGGACGAACGTCGCCATGGCAGCCATGATTTGATCCATTAGGATTCTGTTAAACTTTATTGCCATGTTTTCGAGTTTATCCGTGTTCGAGATGTGCGACGATTCTTTCGTTGGATCGTACGAAGTACAGAAGATATGTAGAACAATTCAAACTCTTACGTTACGAGACTAATATTTCTGCGAAACGTTAGTGGGCCTCCGTGGACACGAGACATGTCGTCCGGGATCTAAGTAGGTTGTTTGTCATGGTTTCATCCGATTAGAACCAGATTGATTGGAGTTAGAGTTGATTGTGGTGGTCCTATGTCAATTTTCCCTGTGTTTGCCAATCGAGCCCCTTGTACCGCTTTGACACACTTTTCTCGGTATACACAGAGTGGACGGTATACGTTGCCATAAAGGTTGGAGGGCAATAAACTGTGCACACCGTTTCATTATTTGCGACCTGTTCGAACGGCCTTAAGCCTGCAGGCACAGAATCTCGATTAACAACGAGGCCCACATCTGATTTTCTATGGAGACATTTGCGAATTCAATTATTCATCTGTTCATTGTATTTACCGTTTACTATTGTGGGAAGTCGACAGTAGGGTAGTTAATCACATTAGAATTCTTATTCTCTTCGACATAGGAAGTTGCATATTTAATTGTTTACGTTGTCATTTTGTTTATATTTTAACTGTTGCGACAGTTTGACAGAAAGGAACTGATTGCGGCAGATTTTTCGTTGTTCAACGATGCAATTAGAAGCTTGCGTAGTGTAACAAATGTAACATTCAACGCGCAATTATACGTATTTAAAAAGAAACGGCTATTTCACTGGATCGATGATAATGTGCAACTTTATTCGACCATTCGTCTTCGGTAAAATTATATCGAAATTGATGACAATGATCGCATAGCGAACCTTTTCGACTCTATTACATCATCCGAAACGCTATGCCTCAAACGAAAAGTCCTCATTCTAAATTTGCGACTCATCTTCCTACAAGCAATCCTCCCACGTCATAAAACTTTCTGCGATGCATCCATCAGATAAACTGCAGCTCCTTCGGATTCAAATCGCGAGATCATAAAGTTCAATACTCGAACTTCAATTCTGGATTACTCTGCCATTTTTGCTTCTGCATCTTCGAGAGATTTCGCGAGTACTATCGTCGAAAGTGTTCCGTTGCGACGGCTAGCCCCCTAAAGGGATCCGTCCGTTCGGAAATCATCGTCGGTCGGCTCAACGGAATGAACGGCTTCGACTGCCGCCAAGCAATTAGACGATGGACCTCGATAATCGAACGGCGAGCTGCTTCGATTATGGTTGGCCGGCCGTTCTACTCTGTTTTTCAATCTTGTCCACGCCTTGATGATACGACCCACTTTCGCGAAAACGTGAGCTGTGTCGCGGAACAGGGATTTCCTCGCGGCCGTGTTTAGAACGGTGTGTTTTTCAAAAGTTTCGCGAAACTTTCTTGATTTAGCGTCCCGGATCTTGAGTCTCGCCCTTTTTCCGAGGCCGCTCTTGAATCCGGAATGCGCTCGGTTTTGCACCGGCGGCATTGTGCGAACATTTCGCAGCGCTTCTTGCGCTTCGGGGTTTCGGGGGAAGACTACCGGGGGGATTCTGAAGTGGCTCAGACCGTGCTGTGTGTTCGGTACTTTAAGCAAGCTGTTTAGAATCTGCGAAAATTGTCTAGCTTCCGTAGGCTGTCCCGGAAAGTCGGAAATGCTGGGGCATTAGTGATGGAATGCCAATTTTGCGAGATCGTTTAGTGTCCGATTCAGCACCCTGAAATGGTTCCGATTTTTTTTTAAATTGAAATGACTCTACAGCAAGGTGCATTCTTTTATTTTTAATTAAAGCTATCGAATGTTTGAAAAATTTCTGCGGGAATGCAATTTGAAATCGATTCCAAATAATTCCGTAGAATTCAATCATTTTTATTGGAAACATTGGACAGAATTTCCGAAATTTTCGATGTGATTTCGAATCTTTTTTTAGACCATAATGCACCTGTCACAATGTGCGTTTACCCGGCTTTAATTTGTGCCATCAAGTTTAAAAATTCACGTGGGAATGCAATTTGAAATGGCTTCGAAGCGACTCCTTAAAATTCAATTGTTTTACTCGGAACCGTTGGGCAAGGTTTGGGAACTTTTCAATAAGATTTTGGATAGTTCTTTTTAATTAAAATAAACTTCTTACGAAGCGCTTTCTTCCAGCATTAATTTCAGCTATTAAAAAGTGGAAAATAAAATAAAATAAAATAAAATCGCTTCGAAGTAATTCCTTGAAATTTAATCGTATTAATCAGAGCCATCAGATAAGGTTTCCGTGTTTTTCAATACGATTTTGAATTTTTGTTTAAACGAAAATGGATCTCCAATAGAGTGTGTTCGCAGATCTTTAACTTGTGCTCTAAAAATCTAAAAAGTTTCTAATAGAAGTGATTGATTTTCATTGAAAACAGATAAACGTCGATCTCGCTTATTAAAGTTAAACAAGAAAGTTTCTGCAAACGTTGATCGATTAAAAAATTTGAAATTTCTCGAAACAACTCTATATTTAAGTAAATTAAATATTTTGATTTCTCCTACAAAATGTTGCTTGTTCAAAGATAACCGAGATCGCTTCACGGTATATCGTTGTTATCGTAGTAAATCATGATTAAAAACAGTTCGTTCGATTCTGCGGGGACACCCTATACGTATACTCCGCGAAACATGTCCGACAGGATAATCCGGCAAACGGGTGTCGTCGCTGCTACAAAGCAGACATCCCCGTTTTCCTGTTTTTTCCTCCCGCACCCTACCTCTGTCTGCCTCCATTCGTTTTTTTAATCATTTTTCAGCGTCGCGGGTAATCGGTGAACCGCTTTAACGCAACTAAAACGCATCGTAAAAATATATGAGCCGATAAACGTGCAACGGTGTTTACGTTAAGCGCAACTTTCCGTGGAATTAAATCGGGAACGAGCTACTTCGACACGCAACATTATCGCGCCGATTTTCCGAATCCTGCGGTGTCGCCCGTTTCGAGGAAGCATGGAGGGTCGCGAAAACCATTTTCCCCGTGCGAACCGTGTGCGCCGGATGGGCTCGGTGTATTTATCTTCTCTGTCTTCTCTGCTCTCCGCCGGTTTCCTTATTTTCCGAACTTTCTGCTCGCTCCGACGGGCTAAGCTTATTTTCGAACAGTCTCTACGTTTTCCGAAGCGAAAGCTGAATCGCTCGACTTTCTTAACCTATAGAAAAATTCACCCCGTCCCAATCGAAAGAACGGCGGCGATGGCAAAGTTGCGCGTATCTCACCCTGCGGAGTTGCAGAGAATTAAGCGAAGATGATCCATATTTTTATTCGCCCAGTGCTTCGAACAAAATTATATTTTTTCAATCGATCGTGCAGTGAAAAAATTGATGGAATAAAGTTAAGGCTTTTTTACGACAGTGTTGTAGCAAATTCAGTGGAAAAATTTACCTTTTTTTCCGAAACGACAGTTTAACCGTTCGATTTTCTTAACCACAGAAGCATTCGGCGCGTTCGATGGAAAGAGCGGAACTCATGGGAAATCGTGCAAAAAGCACTACTCGCTTTTCCAGAAAATTACGCGAGCACATTTATATTTTTAAGCGAACGGGATTATATTTTTGCTCGTCGGTGCTGCGAACAAAATTATATTTTTACTCGACGGCACGCGATAAAAAGAGAAAACAAAATAATAAAGTTATAGTTTTATGCGACACAGTGTCGTAACAAATTAAGCGGAAAGAATTCACATTTTTCGAAGCCGTCGCTTCGAATAGCTGGCCGTGCAGATGAACAATTTTCGAAGCTGTCCGTTGTTTTCGTCGGAAATTGTTTCCAGGCCGTTCCAGGGCAGAAAGAGTCCGCGTTACCCGGGATTAATGACGTCACTGAATTTCGTATGAAATGGCCACACGACGGGCGGCAAAAATACTGTAAATTACATAATGGCCGCGTCGCTAATTCGCGGCGCTCTCGCAGAAACGAGTTTCATTGCACCGGCAATGGTCGCCCGTTTAAATTAATCGCTCCGTAGGAATTATTCATCGGTCTTCAATGCCGAATGCGTAT